GGAGTGATGAAGCCTCCATTCTTCTATTTTTCATCTCCTAAATTGGGGGAATTACAATAGATTCATTCAATTTTTTTTTCTTTTGGTTTTCCGCTGGTTATCTGAGGCTTCGCCTCGACTAATTTGGACTCGACCCGCGTCACGCACCTGAAAATGGTGGATGAATCTCCTAACGAGGGCTGCTGCGTATACAAAATCTCGAACTCAAAATTTTATTTAAACTAGAACAAACCGCTTACCACTTAATCCAATCCTTCGTTGGTGGTATAAAATTCACATTGCACCCCTGTTACTTGTGATTTCCTTCCCTTAGTTTTTCATGTTTATGTGATTTCCTTCGCTTAGTTTTTCATGCTTTAAAAAAAAAAAAGGCCAATTTCTACATCGTCTTTTTTTGAATTTTATAAATGGAACTATCTCTTCACTAATTTCAAGTTATTGAACTATGGATAGATTAGACAGGTGGGTCGTAGGGGTTGGTACGAAGATTAACGGGTTCACATCCCCCACATATTCATAGCCCACTTTGACAATGCTCTTGTCCCTTGTCGTTTTTGTTGGACACTTGCGTCAAATGTTGAAAATATTGCTTCCAAAGTTGCATCTTTTGATCTTTGCATGTGGTAGCCGGTGCTATGGAAGCGATTTTTTTTCACTAGCAATATCATTTCAGATTCGGTTATCTAACGCATCTTTTTCCGGGTAAATATTATTTTTTAACGCATGAGGAAAGTACATATATAATAATTTAAATGTATAAAATTTAAATTTAAAATTTTAATGTCAATTTTTCTTTTAATTATGTAATTAATTGGATACTTTTTGTTATCTATGAAACGCATGAAGAGTAAAATATTCAAAAGAGGAGGCATTGAGATATGGTGAATACCATATATGTCTAGAGAAAGAGCTTTGTGCGTTGCTTTTGTTCATAATTTATATATGTTAAAGAAAAAGAAGAATGAAAAGAGGAAGAAAGGGTGAGGAATTTCTTGCATGCAGAAGTGGAGGGAGTGACACCGTGAGGAATCTTGTAAAGAGGTATCATACTTAAATAGTTAGATTGGAGGTACCTTTTTAATTGTTTTCCCTATTGCTTTGTTCCTTTGTTTCATCTTACTGACCCATCTTTTACCTCTTTATTTTATTGTTATTCATGATGCTCTAAATCTTTGCCATTTTGTTATTAAAAGCGTAAAATAATATATTTATTTTTACTAACAATAATAATATCAATAAGTATTTTATAGTTCATAACTTCATATTACCATTCCTCATGTGTACAGATTACAAAATACTAATCTCATCACAATGGAGCGTTGTGAACTCATCAAGATCAGCGCCTTTATAAGATTGTATTTGTAATTTATATCCCTTCTGTTCTAAAATAATTATTGTTTTTTTTTATTTTTGAACTTATTTTAAATTAATTATTATTTTTTATTTTTTAAAGTAAATAAATATTTTTTATTTTAACTTTATTATTATATGTTTATTTTGATTAATTATCCTATCTTAAAAAAATTATTTTATCTTTTAGTTTTCTTTTAAAAGTAATACAAGTAAATATATAAATAATTCTTCAATTCTTAATTTAAAAAATATTAAAAAAATAATAGTTATTATAAGAAAAAAAGAGAATGTTATAAACGGTAAAACACTACCATAATAACAATTGAACATTTTATTTTTCAAAATTGATAAAGCAATTACTCCCTCAATTCATTTTTAATAAACTTTAATTTTTTTACTTTTAAAATATAAATTTTAGATGAAAATTTAATAATTTATATAAATAACCATTTAATTTTTTTTATTCTTTTTAAATATTTTTATATAATAAAAATTTTAATTATTAATTATATAACTTGTTAAATTTTTATTTAAAATTTATATTTTAAAAATTAAAAATTTAAATTAAATTTATTAAAAATAAATAAAGATAGTAAATATATAGAAGGTTTACAATTTCACTATTGACTTTTAAACCGATTGTCAATATATATTGAGTCCAAATCACCCAAATCGCAAATGCATTTTTATTTTTGAAGATACAATCAATTTAAATAAAAAAAAATCTAATTTGACTAAAAAATAGTAATCACGCATGGAATAGATTCTCAATTGAATGCACACACGATACCAACGCGCTAGACAGTAGGAATATCTTTTTTTTTTTTTTTTATCTACTTTAAATGGATAGTAGGAATATCTTGCTCTTCTTCTTCTTTTTTTTTTTTTAATAAAAAAATAATTAAAAATTAAATTAATATCTATTTTTAATAATATTCAAACATCGATTAAAAATGTAATTTATCGATATCCCTATTAAACTGCAGTAATCATAGATGAACCAACCACAACCATAAATTTCAATATCTGTGCTGCTTGACTCGTGCCTCGATAGTAGGTTTGGATCGATTAGCTGTTTTTGATGATCTACTTTTGTACCGACATTTGAATAATTAATTATATAAAATTGAGTTATATTATTAAGAAAACAAATTCTTAATTTTACCTCAATTTTATGTTCGTAACATTTACTATAGTAGATTAAATAATTCAAAAATTAAATTTATTACTATTATGTTGTAAGTAAATATAATTTTATAAGTCAATTATAAATTAACGACAAGAAAAAATTATATTTAATAATAAACAAATATCATCTTATAAAAATAAGTTTATTAATTAAGTATTAAAATCAACACTTAAAATGTTAATTTTTGTCAATAAAAATTAATTGTTTTTTAATATAATAAAAGAATATAAAAGATACGCCATTAAAATGTCTAAATACATAAAAATTAGCTTGAAAATGCTTTGATGCTGGTAGTCCAAAACCAAACTATTGTAGATTAGCTTTGTCTTCTCTAATCTTCTCACTGTATCTGTACTTATCTGAATCTGTAACCATCACTTGCATAAATGGTAGATATTACAAATGAAAATAACCGAACATCATTTTCCCACAGAACCGTTCAATTCAAGCAGCGAAAAGCAATATCTCAGCAAAAGCAATATCTTACCCAACAATTGCTATTCCACCAAAAAATTTCAATAATTTTCCGAGGTATTCGATTTGTGTCACCCTACTATGCTGTCCCCTACACCCCGTTAGTGTTGAAAGTCCCAAATTCCGGGTCCATAATTCCATAATTCCATAATTCCACCCACCAAACCAGAATACTCTCCATCGTCCATCCATAGAAAAATACATCGTTTCTGCTAATACTAAGATAGGAGTAGTATATTAAACTCTTATTCCTCAATACAATGCAGTAACGCACATATCCCATTGAGTCAGACCTCCGAGTTCTCACCGTGTCATTACCTTACCTTTCCGACCCCCTATAAATATCTTCCCTTGAACGCCTCCCTGCCGTAACCTCCAGTTTTCCCTCACTCAAATCCAAAACAGTTTCTTTCTGAAACCACTTTTTTTTTTTCCCTCTATAAGAAACAGAGGCTTATTCTGGGATTTGAAGGAAGAAGGAAAAACAGCCAAAAGCAAAATGAAAGCGAGTTTGGTTGTTGATGATGGTTTCATCTACGAAGAAGAGAAGCTTCTCACTGTTCTCAAAACCTCCCTGTTTTTCGCCAACGATGGCTTCACCGTTTACGACTGCAACGGGCAATTAGTCTTCCGAGTCGACTCCTACGGGCCTGACACCCGTGATAGGGGTGAAGTCGTCCTCATGGACGCTCAGGGCAGGTGTCTGCTCACTGTGAGAAGAAAGGTATGGTATTCATCTCTGTTTTCTCCGTCGTCCTTATTAGCCGGTGCTCTAATGAGCTCATCCGAGTCAACTCAGTTTTCAAGGAATTGGATTTTGCTTGAATGGGTTGATTCGTTATCTGATTTTGATTCATGGGTCTAGATTTGATTTCTTATTTCTTTACAATTTAAACTTGTTCTGGTTTGAAAGGGATTTAATTTGGGTTTATTCGTGGAACGGACCCAACTCGTTAAAGTAATAAGAAAAAACATAAAATTACTGTACAATTTGAACCGTAAAACTTAAACATCTGGATGAAGTTTGTTTGGAAACTGTTTGCCTGTTCAATTGTTACTGTTTTGAAGAACAGGATTCTCAAAAATTCTGGAAATTTAGTATTGTTTTTGTGGAATAAAATTAACTGAGTCAACCCACTGAGTTAACGAGTGTCCCTTTTACAGAGGCCGAGTTTGCATCACCGGTGGGAAGGGTACATGGGTGACGGGTCGGACGCAAAAAAGCCGGTGTTCAGCGTCCGGAGATCGTCGATTATCGGGCGGTGCAGCGTGGCGGTTGAGGTGTACGGGAACCCAGGGGAGGAGTACCAGATCGAAGGCAACTTCGGACAGCGAAGCTGCTCGATCTTCGATGCGGAGAAGAAAGTGGTGGCGGAGATCCGACGCAAAGTGGATTCCTCCACTAATGTGGTGCTTGGCAAGGACGTATTCTCTCTGTGCCTCAAACCCGGATTCGATGGAGCGTTCGCCATGGGATTGGTTCTGATTCTTGACCAGACCAGCGGTGATGATTACGTGGAGAATGATGGCACCGACGTGCAACCCACTGCAGCGGATTGATCGCTGCCCTTAGCTCTAGAATTTTGTTTTCTTCTTGTAATTCCACTGAATTATGGGGAGAAATATGTGTAAAATCCTTTTGTATATTTTAGTGGTAACTGAGTAATAAGATTTGCTTGCTTTTGAGGTTCTTCAGAATTGGTCAATGGTATTTTTTTTTTTAAATAACTCGTATTTTATTTTGAGTTTATTTGATATTAATTATTTTTATTTTTTAAAATAAATAAATACTTTATTTTTACTTTAAGTATATTATTATTTATTTATTTTGATATATTATTTTATTATAAAAATTTTATTTTATCTCTTAATTTTTTTAAAAGATAATATAATTAAATGTATAAATAATTTTTAAATTCTTAATTTTTAAAAAATATAAAAAATGATAGTTATTATGAAATAGAAAAATTCTTAAAAGTATTTCACTGTAGGGAGTATTAAAACTATTTCATCAAAAAATTTTCCTAACACATGCCTTGCATTTCTTTATATTAATTTTTTTATCGGCACTTTTTTATATGAATTGATATTGAATAATACAAAATTTGATATTAATTTTGCTATCATTATTATGTGTATAATTTTAATTAATTAGTTGATTAAATAAATATCAATTTTTATGTTTTAACATTAATTAATATTAAAAAAATGTAATAATTATACCTTTACAACATAATTTAAAAAAATCCTTCGCTAAAAAGTAAAGAAGTATTGTGTAAAACAAAAATTATTAAAAAAAATGAAACAATCACTATTTAAAAAAACTCACTCTTATTTAATGGTTTAAATTAAATAATTTAATATAATTTAAACCACACAAAATTTTTAAAAAACTAATACTCCTTTCCTTTTCTTCCCTTTTATAGTATTTCTCTGCAAACTAAGGGTGCTTTTGGCATTAGAAAAAACTTTCCCCTTAATGTGGGAAAGTTATGAGGCATCTTTGAATTTTCGTATCTTAATATAACAATAAACAACAATAAATAAAGAATAAAAATAATATTAAAAA